TTGGGTGTGGCCTATTATGCTAATGAGTTCCTGTTGGGATTTTTCTACAAAAAGAGCCCTGACAGATTGAAAACATCATTTCCCTTTTGAGAGTCATGGCCCCTCTTTTTCCAAAAAAAGGAAAAGCAAGCCCTGCCCTCCCTAGGCTCAACTCCCCAAATCTCCAGGAATTTCCCAACCCAGAGCTGGCAACCCCAAAGGACAGACATGCGCCCCAATGAGAAATTATCCCCATTGAAGAGTGTCATTTCCTCTACAGTGTGTTTATGCACAAGACCCTGTCCTCGCAGGGGTATCGTCCCCTTTCTTCTGCCCAGAGGCATTTATCTTTCATCCTTTCGACCCCTCCTCCCCGTGCCACCACCGGTAATTGAACCAGGGAAATAGACTTCCCTCCCCAAGTGCCATTCTTGTGTGAAGTGTGGCTGATAAGAGGAATGGATTTTGTTCCAAAGCTTCTAGAAATGAGGAGATAACTGGTGTTGAAAGGAAGGACAACACTCAGTTTGCTCTTTAGAAGGCGGCTGGGGTCGATGGGTTCCCCCCCCACTCCACTGGAAGTTGTGGGGGGGGGGAGTTTAGTGAGCCAACAAAATGCCTGCTGGGCCAGACTCCATAAATTACTGCCGAGGCCTCAAGACGCCCTTACACTGTCGCATTTTTGTACGTCTTCCCTGGTTCCCACTGCATCCTGTTTCCCCCGAGCAGCAGACCCGTTTGGCTTAAAGTCTGTGCTTCGTGTGACATCGCAGAAAAGACTGGTGGAGGACAGGTTGATAGGGTTGCCAAGTGAGAATTGAGCCGCAGCGGGGGACTCCCGGCGCACCGCATCCGCATCACCCGGAAGTGACGTGGGCACGCCGGGCACGCTGGGGGTGGGGCCACGACCATCTGAGGAAAAAACATAGAGTTTTCCCTCAGATGACCGTGGCCCTGCCCCCAGCGTGGTCGCGTCACTTCCGGGTGACGTGCACGTGGGGGTGGAGTCCGGGGCCCGATCCGCCGCCGGCGGGGAACGGGCCTCTGGGGCGGGGTTTTCCCCGCCCCCCCCAGGGGGACTTGGCAAGCCTACAGGTTGACAACATCCAGGGCTTTCCAGAAAAAGAGGCACTGAAAAGAGGCAAAGTGCGGTCTGGGGGCAGGGTGTTCACTTCTAGGAAAGCTGATTTGAGGCCAGGTTTCTGACTCGGTTGCAAGCCAAGAGATTTCAGCAGGTCCGCTTTGAGTCTGACCCAGCCTAGGTCTGAGCTCGAGTCTCTTGGATGCAAACACGTGAAAGCTGCCTCGCTCTGCACCAGGCCCTTGGTCCATAGCGGGTTAGTCTAGCCTGTTCAGACTGGCAGCGGCTCTCCAGTGTCTCAGGCAGAGGTCTGTCACCTCAGCAGTTGCTTGGCCCTCTTAACTGGAGGTGCCGGGGACTGAACCCAGGGCCTCTGCATGCAAAGCAGAGGCTCCACCGCCACCAAGGCGTGGCCCCTCTGCCATGTGCGGCCTTCCAGGGAGGGTCTGTGGCTCAGTGGGAACGCATCTTCTTGGCAATATCTGCTCAGTCCCTGGCACCCCCACTGAAAGGATCTCAGGAGCCTGCAGGGTTGCCTGAGACGCTGGAGGGCCTCTTCCTCTTGCTGCAGATGTTAGAGCAGGGTGTCAAACATGAGGCCTGGGGGCCGGAATGGGCCCATCCAGGGCTCTCATGCAGCCCGCGAGCAATTACTGCAAGGAAGGGAGTACTGGGAGGAGTGGGGGGGAACCACTCCAATTGTGGCATCAGCATGGCAGAACAACCTCATCTGCAGCAGTCAAGCAGCTCAGGAGCATCTGCCCAGTGCCGCACCGCTGGCTCTCCAGTCCGCCCATGTGGGTTTTCCTTTGCACCCCCCTCCCAGCCCATGAGGCCTTGCAGTGAGAACACACCACCTTGGAGCTTACCAGCTGCTGTTCTTTGTACAGTTTATATCTCCAGTACCTGGTATTACATATATGTCAGATCTGGCCCTCGTAAGAGATGAGTTTGACACCTCTGGGTTAGAGGGACAGATTCAGTTTTAGGCTCTTTCATACACCCCAATTCCTAACAAGAGCCTAGATCAGGGGTCCCCAACGTGGTGCCTGGGGCCCACCAAGACCTTTCCCGTGGCTTTTCTGCATTATCAATTTTCCTCACTTGTGTGTTCCCTGTTGCCGCAGGGGGTCCCTGTTCTGCATGTCTTTTGCTCCCTCGGATTGTCGATGCTATATTACATCGCTTTACATCCGGCAGAAAAACTCGCAGTTTAAATCTGCAGGGAGACATGCCAGACATGAAGGAGTGTAATCCCAAATTGACCACTAGAGGGAGGGAAACACATGCAGAACCAGGAGGGGGGAGAAACCAAAGCAACAAGAACACACAGGGGAGGATAATGAGAATGTGAGGAAGCCCCCCCCCCGGTGCCCAACAAGTGTTCTCAGGAAGTGGGTGGGCCCAGGTGGGGCTTTAGCCCAGCAAGGGTTCTGATTGGCCACTGCAGATTTGATTGGCTGTGCAGATTTTTTTTTAAGCTGCTTTAGCAGCCGCTGGAACTACAGGGCAAAGATCTTCACTGTGTGTCTGAAAATAAGCCGCCGCAGCCTTTCTGTAGCTCGCCCCACCTCCTACGCCAGCCATCCTGGCGTCCATCCTGTGGCTGCGCCCGCCCCACTGTGTCAGAATTCCAAAGGCACCCACAGACTCAAAACGGTTGGGGGGCCCTGCCCTAGATGCTGTTCTGCCTATACACGGAGGAGCCCTGCACCACTCCCTCTACAGATGCGCCAGGAAGTGCCACAGGAAGTGGCGGCGGCTACAAGCATGGACGGCTTCAAAAGGGAATTAGATAAGCATATGGAGCAGAGGTCTATCAGTGGCTATTAGCCACAAGGTATAGATAGGGGTTCTGGGGCAAGGGATGCTCTGTCTTCTTGGTGCTTGGGGGGAGGGTCAACAGTGGGAGGGCTTCTAGTGTCCTGGCCCCACTGGTGGACCTCCTGATGGCACTGGTATTTCTGGCCACTGTGTGACACAGAGTGTTGGACGGGATGGGCCACTGGCCTGATCCAACATTCGCGTCTCTTATGTTCTTATGTTCAGTGTGTGCACGCTGAGGTGGATCATGGCCTATGCACTTAAGGTCCACTTCAACAGGACTTAAGCCCAACTCATTGCCAACTTCCAGGAAGGGCCTGGAGATCCCCTAGAATTACGGTGGACCTTCAGACTACAGAAATCAGTTCCCCTGTGGGTACAGTCGTTGCTTGGCAGGGCGCACTCTCTGGCACCGTGGCCTACTGAGGTCCCTCCCCAAACCCTGCCCTCCCCAGGCCCCGTCCCCAAATCCCCAGGCATTTTTCAACATGGGGGAGGCCGCCCTGCTCCTGTGGCTCCATAATGGAGATCAAGCAAGCATGGTAAAGGTTCCCTTGCTTGAAAGCCAGTCGAATCCGACTCTAGGGTTGCGGTGCTCATCTCCGTTTCCACGCCGAAGAGCCAGCGCTGTCCGAAGACGTTTCCATGGTCACGTGGCCAGCATGACTAAACACCGAGGCGCACGGAACGCTGTTACCTTCCCACCAAAGTGGTACCTATTTCTCTACTTGCAATTTCTCACTTTCGAACTGCTAGGTTGGCAGGAGCTGGAACTAGAGACGGGAGCTCACTCCGTCATGCGACACCCGGGTCTCGAACTGCTGAACTGCCGACCTTCCACCACCTGCAGTTCAGCGTCTTAACCACTTGAGCCACCGCGCACACACTGAACATAAAAACCGGGGCACAAAAGCCGCTGAGCCACCTCCTGTTTGCCAGCACCAAGGCGGCAATACTGGGAAGCAATGCGCCACGGTCCGTGCTGGGGGAAGGGTCCTGGCCAGTGTTCCCTCTAAGCTGAGTCAGTGTGAGCTAGCTCACAGTTTTTGAGCCTCCACCTCACACGTTTTTGTCTTACCTCAGAAAGGATGGCTCCGGAGCAATCTAATCGATGCAGCAACCAAATAACTTGCTCACAACTTTAAGGTCAGTAGCTCACAAAGAAGAATTTTTGCTCACAAGACTCCATAGCTTAGAGGGAACATTGGTCCTGGCATGAGCCCAACAGTTAGGTTTGCCCATCTCCAGGTTGGGGCTGGAGTTCTCCTGGAATTCCAACCGATCTCTAGACTACAGAGGTCAGTCCTCCCGGAGGAAAGGGCCGCTTCAGTTGATGGACTCTGTGGTCTCACATCCATGCCGGCCGGCCTCCCCAAGTGAAACACGGCCCCTCCAGGAATCTCTGGGGAATCTCCCAAGCCAGAGTTGGCAACCCCACCAATACCAACCACCCGTGCTGATCCCGTGAAAAGGGGAGCCCGTTTCCGCTGGATCTTGGGGTCATTGGATCCCCTTTCCCACATATCTCCAGGAGTTTCCCAACCTGAAGCATGGACGGCTTCAAAAGGGAATTAGATAGGCATACGGAGCAGAGGTCCATCAGTCGCTATTAGCCACAGGTGTAGATAGGGGCTCTGGGGCAGGTGATGCACTGTCTTCTTGGTGCTTGGGGGGGCCAACAGTGGGAGGGCTTCTAGTGTCCTGGCCCCACTGGTGGACCTCCTGATGGCACCTGGTATTTTTGGCCACCGTGTGACACAGAGTGTTGGACTAGATGGGCCTTTGGCCTGATCCAACATTGGCGTCTCTTATGTTCTTATGTTCTTATGATCCGGAGCCCTACCCCCCACTCCCCACCGGTGGCCAAGGGGGATCTGGCAACCCTAGTCTTCTGGCACCGCAAGCACTTAGGAACAGGAACTGAAGGCTCAGAAGGAAGCAGGAAGCAGCCCTAGAAACAGGAAGGAAGACAGGTGGCACTTTGGTCTGATGCAGCCTGGCTGTTCACAGGTTCTTAAATCAACCCTTCAAAATATACACCATTTTGACCAACGGACTGACTGACATGCTTCTCCACCCGTATCCAAGTAGTAAAGAGCCATTTGTCTTCCTGCAGGCTCTTCGAAACCCTACAGTCTCTCTTCTGGTCCGTGTTTGGTCTGTTGAACCTCTACGTCACGAACGTGAGAGCCAGACACGAATTCACGGAGTTTGTCGGGGCCACCATGTTCGGCACGTACAACGTCATCTCGCTGGTGGTCCTGCTAACATGCTCATAGCCATGATGAACAACTCCTACCAGCTCATCGCAGTAAGTCAGACCCCTGGGCTTCTTTTCCGGTTTCCATGGAAAGGTGTGTTCTGTTGGCGTGCTCTGTGTGTGTGTGTGCGCGCACGCGCATAAATGTCTCCATTGGGCATTCAGGCCAGTGGGTTCCTCAGAAGCAGCTTGGCTGACAGAAGTGGGATGTGCGGAAGGAGAACCAGATGAGTTCTTCTCGCTACGGGTTGTTCAGGCCCAAGGAAGTCCCTGTGACTTTTAATATCCCTCAACCGCATGAGGTTGGCCCCACTGGGTGAATGGCATTTGCGCAGGGACATGATGTCAAGCTCTCCACTCTGACGTCCCGTCCCTGCTTTAGTGCAAAGCTCTTGGCTTGGCTGCCCAAATGCAGAACTGGGGGAGGCAAGGCAGCCAGTGCGCTCGGTGACATTGGGCATTTGGCAGGACTTCTGGGACAGAAAAGACAAATGACTCCCTTTTCCCTCCCTCCCTCCCCTCCCTCTCTCCCTCCTTCCCTCCCTTTGTGTGGCCTGGAAAAGCAGCTCCTTCTGTTTCTTTAGATGCACAAGCAAACCTGGTCATCCTAAATACTGAGGGGGAAAGTTCCTAAACCCAAACAGTGAATGGGCCCAGTAACCCGTCATTGATTTGGGCCTTTGCGAAGTGGCGAGACAGTGCGGTCCCTTGCTAGGGAAGGATAGCAACCTTTTTGAGCCTGCGGGCACCCTTGGAATTCTGGCACTGCGTGGTGGGCGCAGCAACCAAATGGCTGCCACAAAATGGCTGCTGCAGGAGGTAGAGACTGGCACAAAATGGCTGCCACAGCTGACCTTCAGTCACACCGTGCAGATCCTTCGGCTGTGGTGGCAGCTGCTGCCAAAGCAACATTGTAAAAAAGCTGCACAGCCCATCAAATCTCCAGTGGCCAATCAGAAGCCTTGCTGGGCAAAAGCCCTATTTGGCCACGCCCCCCTCCGGAAAACACTTGGCGGCTGCCATAGAAGGTGTTAGCGGGCACCACCTTTGGGAATCCTGGCATATCTCAGACTCAAGGTGCATCTCAGGCTGCGGTCACACGCGCCAGTTGAAGCGGAGGGGAAACGAGGCTATTTCCTCTGGAGGAATTTGACATGCCGTTGCGAGATCACATCTCCCTTTGTAGCTGGAAGGTGTGATGAGACACTGCGGGTGAGTCCCATGTGCATAAACGAGGAATCACACCTCCACTCTGAGGGCCCCCTATGGAGTATGCAATAATGTGCATACTGCAAAGGGGGGGAACGGCATCAAGCCAGGATCGCCCTATGGAGTATGCAATAATGCGCATACTGCAAGGGGGGGGAGAACGGCACTGAGCCAGGATCGCATGATCAGGCCATCTTGACGTCATGAGAGCATGATTGCGCGATCAGATGGGGGAAAGTCTGTCTGTGGCCCATCGGAACCCGTTAGACTGGACTTTTCCCGGTGTCGTTTAACTCCGCTTCTGCGGCGGAGCGGCACGGGTTGCCAACGACTGCTGGACGCTCCCCAGATGTTGCTGTCTGACCGTCAGGCATTTGCACCTATGTCGGATCTAAAAGTGCGTGTGATCGCGGCCTTGGTGAATTTTTGGGACCACTAGCTGGCCCAAGAAGTCCAGTGCTCCATCCTTCTTCAGCTACCGGTTGAATAGTCAGATGAGAGATGTCCACACTTTCCCCGGTGTCTTTTAACTCCGCTTCTGTGGTGGAGCAGATGTTGCTGTCTGGTCGCTCCCTTTAGATCCGTCAGGCATTCGCACCTATGTCGGATCTAAAGGTGCGTGTGATCACAGCCTCAAAGACAGGGGGTAAGAAATGCCGGCACAAGTAAAGATGAGAAGATCTAAAGGTGCGTGTGATCGCAGCCTCAAAGACAGGGGGTAATAAAGGCAGGCACAAGTAAAGATGAGAGAACAAAGTCCAGTTTAAGACCGGGTGGGATGACTTCAAAATCAAGGACAAAATCCATGTTATAGTTTTTATTTGGACCCACCAAACTGACACAAAACACTGTGCAGGCTTTTGAAGTAGAGTTGCCGACCTCCAGGTGGAAGCTCCTGGAACTACAGCTGGTCACCAGGGGACAGAGATCTGTTCTGGAGGAAATGGCTGCTTTGGAGGGCGGACTCTGCGGTTTTATGCTCCGCTTAGGTTCTTCCCCTCCCTAAACTGTATGCCCCCCAGGCTCTACCCCCAAATCTCCAGGGATTTCCCGATTTGGAGCTGGCCAACCCTATTTCAAACTCAGCAGAGCTCTTCATAAGGCTAGATGTAAAAACGTAAAAAAATAGAAGGGTGGATGCAGTGATTTTTCCAGACGTTGAGGTCTGGTTTTGCGCGCACCCTCTGTGAGGTGCCATCTGACTTCAGGCAGCTGAGTGGCAGTCATCCGGAGTGTCATGCTGGGAAGACCTGAGTTCAAGTTCCCCTTAGCTATTCATTGGGTGGCCTTGGCTAATCCCTTGCTCTCAGCTTCACCTCCCTCAGCAGGTTATGGTGAGTTAAAAATGGAGGAAGAGGAAGAAGAGGAGGAGGAGGAGGAAGAAGAGATTGGATTTATACCCTGCCCTTCAGAGCGGCTTACAAACTCCTTTCCCTCCCCCTCCCCACAACAGACACCCTGTGAGGCAGGTGGGGCTGAGAGAGCTCTTTCAAGAACTGCTCTTTCAAGAACAGCTCTGACAGAACTATGGCTTGCCCAAGTGCAAGTGGAGGCATGTGGAACCAAACCTGGTTTTTCCAGATTAGAGTAGGGTTTCCAACTCCAGGTTGGGAAATTCCTGGAGATTTTGGAAGTGGAGCCTGGAGGGGGCAGGGTTTGGAGGAAAGAGAGTCCTCAGTGGGATAGAATGCCATAGAGTCTATCTCCAAAGTAGCCCTTTTCTTCAGAGGAACTGATCTTTATCATCTAGAGATCAGTTGTAAATACTGAGGAATCTCCAGGGCCCACCTAGAGATTGCCAACTCTAATTATTAGAAACTTCATGGTCCACCAAGGCAGTTACATTTACAAAGCAGGACAAAACATGCTCTTTGGCTGTTCACAGCTTAGATCTGTGGGAAGTGATCCTGAATGTTCAATCATGCTTGACAACGTCAATCCCTTGCTAGATCCAGCATTCTTTGCAGGAATTCCAGTAAGTAGTATTTCCCTCCCGGCCTTCCATCCCCCAAAATAGACCCTCAATGCAGGTTCCAAGTTTGGTGTAGTGATTAAGTGCAGCGGACTCTAATCTGGGAGAGCCTGGTTTGACCTTGGGTTAGGGTTGACCTTGGGTCAGTCCCAGTTTTCTCAGAGCAGTTCTCTCAAGAGCAGTCCTCAAAAGAGCTCTCTCAGCCCCACCTCCCTCACAGGGTGTCTGTTGTGGGGAGAGGAAGGGAAGGAGATTGCAAGCCACTCTGAGTGAAGGGTGGGGTATAAATCCAATCTCCTCCTCCTCCTCCTCCTCCTCTTCTTCTTCTTCTGTGCAAAAATGCGAAGCACCATCCTGCAATTAAAACAGAGCCACAGCCAGAAAAAAAGCAGTATCCTTAAAACCAGCACAATTAGAATTAACGACATTAAGCCACCATCGGTTTAGGGGGGAAAGGATAGGTGCCGGTCGTCAGCATGCCTGGAAAAAGGCCTTTGCGAAAGAGGCCATCCTTAACATCCAGCCAAATGATGCCAACAAGCCCAGGGCGAGGCTGGCCTCCCATGGGCGTGAATTCCAGAGCGAGCCCCGTGTCTCAGAGCCACCCGGTGTCAGGAGGGTGGTGGAACCCCAGGAGGACCTCCGGTGGTACTCTCAGCACTTACATGCACATCCTTCCTCTCCGTTTGAAGGCCATTCTGGAGACGGGGGGGGTGCGGGTTTCATTGTGCCCTCGTGCCCCTTCAAAAATCCTGGCCAATTTGTCCAGGTTCACCTATTTCCCTATTCCAAGTTCTTGATCTGTTGCTCCCCCCACAAGGCAAGATAGTTCTGGGTCCACAGGACCCCCCACCCACCATGCAAGATCCACTGAGGCGAGAGACCAGCGGGGCCTCTGCATTGCGTAAGGGGGATGGACGCTTGCCAAACTGCAGGGCTCTTTTTTTGTTCACCCCTTTGGACCAAGCTATTTTAAACCTCGGGAGCTGCCTGTTCCCTCAGGGACACCTTGAGGCAAGGCCATTATTGATCATTCCTCTGAACCAGCCTGCCTTCTTTTTGATTTGCCCCCTTGCAGTCAAAATCTACATTCAAATAGCCACGTCGGCCAAATCTGGGGATACTTAAATCCAGAGGCTGGGCCCGTGCAGGGCCAAGCCGGATTTTCTGACAAACTTGTGCCCCAGGTTTGCAGAAAAACCAATAATAACAACAACAGAGTTATAAAACCCCCAAATGATAAGATGAACCCTTGTACAGCTTACACTCCATTGCAGGAATCAGGGTACCTTGCTTAGAAAGCAGAACGCTGGCTACACACGTGAACGGGTCTTGCAGGAGCACACCAGGCAGCTACGATCAGGTCTTTCGGTATGCCACTCGGTGTCTTTTACGCATGGCTGGGTTTCCTCCTCTCAAAGATCTTTCAAGACCCAACAGAAATAGCATCTGTTTACGAATACAGACAGACTCTGTCATGACTGCAAAAGGAAGGGCAGTGCGATGGATGTCGGGGAGGTGGGGGTGGCCAGGTGGCTCCATTACTCGTGAGCAATATAAAGTGATGGGGTGGGTAACGAGGCCGCCGGCTGATGCGGCCAGTGATCCCCCCCCCCCAATCATCTCTTGGCTGCCTTGGGAACGAAGGAGTCCTTCTCGACGTCTGGCTCATCAGTTCGGGAAAGGGCCCTCGAGCCTGAAAGGTGCATTTGGAAATCAGGCACTGACTCCAGAGCTGATTTCTGAAAATGCACCACGTACTTCGGATGGCCGTCTCCAGGTGCTGGGCATGTTTTGCAAGAGCAAGCCTTCGGCATGCCCACTGAGCGCACAGGCTGGCCTGGGCATAGGCTGGAGAACCCTAGAGCTG